GTATGAAAAGGTAACCTTTTTTTAAAGGAGGCATGTCCCCAAACCCCACTCTAGTGGTGGGCAGAGCAAGGCTTCGTTAAAAACTGAAACAGTTAAAACAAATGTGAAAAGGCTTCGAAACGTGGGTCGACAGTGAGACGTTTTCAGGGATTGTTCTGAAACGACTTTAACAGAGAAAACGTTGAGTGAATTCAGTGATTATAACCAGACAGAATCTGCGGAGATTTTTCTGCTACTAATGCAGAGAATTTTATAAAAATAAATCTGCGGAATTATGCGACATGATTTTAGGAGGATCATAACTAAAAGCTTAATATATGAAATAAAGAAATAATAAATGTTTTACTTTATTCTTTACAATGCAAATCTGATTAAATCCAGTAATTTGGTGAACAAAGCAAGTCTTTCGTATAATCTATTTACTAAAAGACAGAAAGTATTACTTTTACAAACGGTATTGTTCACAAATCCAATTAACATTTTAATATTACAATTATTATATCATATTAATAGGCGACTCAGTGGCGCAGAAAGTAGTGCTGTCGCCTCACAGTAAGAAGGTCGCTGGTTCGAGCCTCGGCTGGGTCAGTTGGGGTTTCTGTGTGGAGTTTGCATGTTCTCCCTGCGTTTGCGTGGGTTTCCTCCGGGTGCTCCTGTTTCCCCCACAGTCCAAAGACATACAGTACAGGTGAATTGGGTAGGCTAAATTGTCGATAGTGTGAGTATGCGTGTGATGGTGTGTATGGGTTTCCAGTGATGGGTTGTGGCTCGAAGGGCATTTGTTGCATAAAACATGTGCTGGACAAGTTGGCAGTTCATTCCGCTGTGACGACCCCAGATTAATAAAGGGACTAAGTTGAAAACAGAATGAATGAATATGATAATAATATTAGTGAAGTTAATTTAAAACTGAATAAATATAAATTTACACAATTGTGACATTTACACAAGTCTGTGGATTTCTGCACGCACAGATTCTGTATGGGCCTAATTTATAAATCAAGTTGCATACACAGGATGTCAAGTGATTTAGTCGAGTGGTGTTCCTAACTGGTATGCAGATAGGTTCAAATTCAGAGTGAAGCAACTATAAGCCCATTTCACACAGTGATAACGGTAAATATTCAGAAAATTACCGAAATTACCTTACCAAATAAAAAAAAAATTAAAAAAAACTGTTTACACAGGTAAGGACATTCTGGAATTTGATTCACATCTGCAGGTAAACGCGTAAGAATGTTCTGACTGGCTAGATTAGACGCCTCACGTCAATGTGTTCTAATTATGGACCCGTTCTTTCTGGCAATTTACCTTCTGCGTTCACACAGAGCAGCATTGCAGCAAATTACCGGTAATGTTACAACTTTTTTTTTCAGAAAATTGCAGGAACTAATATACCGGTATTTTCCAAAAGGTCTCGTTCACACATGCATACCTTTCTGGAAAATTTCCAGTAATTTTCCGGAAAAGTCTGTATATGTAAAAGGGGGTATAGTATATATATGAATTTGGGTTATTGTTGCTGTTCTTGTAATGTGTTTTGTTGTAACATCGGTCTATCATTCAAACAAACTCTTTGTGAATAAATGTGGTCATGAAAGATGAACATTAATAAGAGTTATCAAATCATAATTTCTGTGGTTTTGCCAGTGGTCATACAAAGGATGAAGCTTATTGGTCAGTTCTTGTCATGTGACTCGCATTCTGAAAACTTGAGTTGTTTTCAACTGGGCTCAAGCTGTGCACCTCTAATAGAAATAACAAACTTGTGCACGGAAAAGACGTGATATGTAAACAAGGCCTCCATAATTTGGGATCTTTAGCGGTTGTTCTTCTTGCAGACAGGCTGGATTCACCTGATTTATTGACGAATGGGTTGCGCATTTATTCTTTGGCAGTTCGGGGGTCCTTCACTGGGCCTTTTCCCCTTTTCAAAGAAACTTTCCAAAGACATCTGTTTTTTACTCATTTTGCTAGCTTGTGGGTTACATTTTGCACTCAAGTGACTAAAGGCTAATTTATAGTTCTGCGTCAAGCGCAAGCGTAGGCTCCGGCGCAGCCTTTGTGGGATCACATAGCCCTTGCTGTGTCTGACATTGACGCTGATGCGCACCTCTCAAAAAATGTGATTGGTTGGCTTGGTAGCTGTGCAGAGTGTGGGTGGTGCTGAGAGCTGCAAGCCTGATGGAGGGCATGTTTACAAGTGTCGAGTCCCATGAAGGAGCTGCAGATGTTTATCTTAGTTGTTGCACATCTACCTCTGAATGAGCGCATTTTAGCTATTTGTACATTTATGTAGCATTCAGACAAAACCAAACACCCGCTAAGAAACTCGATACAGAGGAACATAACAATCTACTGCCATCTAGTGTTTCTTAAGTGTTACTGCAGAGCAACACTAACAGCATGCAGAAGTATAAATGCACGGCTATTCACAAGGCAGGCGATCACGCTGATCACTTGTAACAAAAATATACAACAGCCTTGAGATGTAACTGAGAGAATAGTCATTTTTCAAAATAAAAGATCGTTCAGACTCAGACAATAAATAAAACACAAATAATTCATAATTTCTTGTGCGCCCAGTACCAATTAATCCACAGACCAGTACCAGTTCACAGCCCCAAGGTTGGGGACCACTGCTCTAGGCTATGTGCAAATGAGTTTTCATTCAATCAAACACAGATTTGTCAGGTCTCAAAACAGTTGAGAATTCCTCGATTCTATGAATCAATTCAGTCTTGTGACCAGGGTCTTTCAAAACACTTCGGAGCAGTGTTTCAAAACGTGCACTTTCGGATCTTGACAATTTGTCAAAACCAAACCTACCCCGCCCTAACCCTACTCCTCATTGAGATATATGTAACTACTTGTACTAAAATGTAAGAATTATATAAAAAATACAAAATGTGGTGAGATTGCATTATTTCAATAAACTAATCATTAAATTACACCTAAGAATTTTTTTATTTTTTCAAAATTTTAAGAAATAGAGTGTTTCAATGCATTTTATTGACTTGAACAGTATGCACTTAGTCACAATCATAATTTGTTGGGCAGAGCGTTTATTATTCAATTATTTGATTAGTATCTATAATTAAATAATTCAATAACATAAAATAAGTGAGATTTGTGTCTAGTTATCAAATGTAAAAAGTACTAAGAATATGTAATATTATCAAAATACTTAATTGTATTGGTCGCAACACTGGTGTTCCTGATCCGCCTTGGACACAGAGTTATCTGCCTCTTCACATTGTCTATGTTCTAGAGTCTATTCCCAACTTTCTCTTGAAATACACAAATTATCAAACAACCTAATAGTTATTAACACTATGAACATTTGGCAGCAGTTTAGAAGACATTTTGGTTTTCATAGTGCCTCAATTCATATACCAATTTCCAAAAACCATTTATTCCCTCCCTCTATATTAGATCATGTTTTTGATACTTAGTCAATAAGAGGCCTAGCCACTTTAAACGATTTGTATGATAGCAATGTTTTCTCCTCCTACTCACTCCTATCAACTAAATTTGATTTCCAACAACCGTTTTCGTTTCTTTCAAGTGAGACATTTTGTTCAAAAACGTTTTTTTCCTTATCGCCCCTCTGAATCAGAGTGTGATCAATCCAAGTCAAAGACGCTTGATATATGCAATTTATGCTAGAATAACGACTTTGCTTCCATCTCCAACTGGTTTACTTACAAACACGGGAAGCAAGATCTGGGTATTGAGATTTCCGAGGACCAATGGAAAGACATTCTCAGTTTAGTTCACTCTCCATCTATTTGTGCCAGACACGGCCTACTACAATGCGAAGTACTTTATAGGACCTATTTCACTAATGCCAAACTTTCTAGAATATTTCCAGACAGAAGTGATGCCTGTAACAGATGTAAGCAGTTTCCAGCCGATTACCTTCACATGTTTTTTAACAACCTAGTGTAATATTTTTTTAAATCTTTCTCACGCTCTTAATACAATCATCGCTCCTGACCCTCTGACTGTCCTTTTTGGTTATCTTCCAACCCCAACTATACAATCATCAATACGCCATGCCATTGCCTTTACCACCTTGCTCGCCAGCCGCGCAATTCTCCTCAAATGGAAACATGTGTCTCCATCCTCAGAACACTGAATTAGGTTCTACATTGAATCTACTGTGTCTTGAGAAACTGAGACACTGTTTTATAGAAGCACTAAACTGCTTTAACAAAACATGGAGTCCCTTACTGTCTGTCATTGAGAACCTTAACATTCCAGGACCTGCTGACTAGAATTTCGAAAGGGAGAGAGACTTTGTGTTTTTTTTTTTTTTTCATTTTTCTGTATTTACCCACTTATTTTTATTTTTTATTAATTTATTATTTTTTCAGTTGGTTTATTTATTTATCTTTGTTTTGATTCATCTTTGCGTACTTATTGAAGGCCTCAGAAAATAGGGAGGGGTGGGAGATGAGAGGAATGGTGCATAAAAGGGGGTAGAAAAGTGTAAGTTTGATTTGGGAGTTCAACAGTTTTCTTGTTTTTGTTGCTATATATTTTTTATGTCATATATTTGCTGATATGACTTCTATTTTTCCTATACATTTGTACGTTTGTATATTATCTGGAAAAAATGCAATAAAAATATGAAAAAAAGTTCTAAAAATAGCACTACAATGTCTACTTACAATTAGAAATGTTACTTTGGAATCTGAGTGAAATAAATCAGATGTGCTAGAACAATTTTAAAATGTATAAACTATTATTTTTTTATTTATTTTTATTTAGTTATTTTGAGATGCTAATGGTCTAATCTAGGTCAAGGATTTATGCTAAGCTAAACTAAAAGTGTTCCCGCCAGACCCAGAGATTGACTGGATATAAAAATGATAGAACTCAACTGATTAATTCTGAGGGCTTTGTAAAATTTCTAAAAAAGAGTGGAGTGTTTCTTTAAGTGTCATAGGGCAGATCAGTTGTTTATACGAACCCAACTGTCTCTCTGTATGCAGGTTCCTCAGGATGAGTGGGGAGGCTTCTCCTCTGTGGGTCAGGATGATGAGATCCCTTGCCGGCGGATGAGGAGCGGCAGCTACATCAAGGCAATGGCCGAGGAAGACAGTGGAGACTCCGACTGTAGCCCTAAACCTTCACCCAAAGTCCAGGCACGGAGAGCGAGCTACCTGAAAGCCACCCAGCCTTCCCTTACTGAGATGACCACACTCAAGTGAGTCATTCATTGAAGAATTACCATATTGCTTACATTGTACCATATTGCTTACACTGTTTATTTTTTCCCCTTATTTCTGTTTAAAGGAGGGAAGTTTTTTTTTCAACACATTTCTAAACATAATAGTTTTAATAACTCATCTCTAATAACTGATTTATTTTATCTTTACCATGATGACGGTAAATAATATTTAACTAGACAATTTTCAAGTCACTTCTGTACAGCGTAAAGTGACATTTAAAGGCTTAACTAGGTTAATTAGGTTAACTAGGCAGGTTTGGGTAATTAGGCCAGTTATTGTATAATGACGGTTTGTTCTGTAGACAATCAAAAAAAAAAAAAAAAAATAGCTTTAAGGGGCTAATAATATTGACCTTAAAACGACTTTTTAAAAATTTAAAACTGACTTTCTCCAGAATACAAAATATTGTCAGACATACTGTCAAAATGCCCTTGCTCTATTAAACATAATTCGGGAAATATATATAAAAAAAAAATAAATAAATAAAAATCAAAGAGGGGCTAATAATTCTGACTTCAACTGTGTGTGTGTGTGTGTGTGTGTGTGTGTGTGTATATATATGTGTATGTATGTATCTATCTATGTATGTATGTATATATGTATATATGTATGTATATATATATATGTATATATATATATATGTATATATATATATATATATATATATATTGTATATAAAATACAATTATTAAGCACATTTTAAATGTTTGTAAGTCAAGAATTGTGCATTTGTAGCTGCAGTTATAAACTGCTTACTAACATTAATTAATGTAGAGTTAATGCTTAACAGATAATGAATTGACTATTTGCTAATGCTTAATAAATGATTTATAGTGTGTAGTTATTATAAAGTGTTACCGTATCATTAACTATACAGTTTCATGTTTCAAAACAATGAATACATTTTATTTAGATTTAGTTTGGCCAATAAAACATCCTCAAAGGTGCCACAGAATTCGAGTTTCACAATGTCGAACTAACAAAAGATATATTTATATAAGATATATTTATATAACATATAAATAGACCTTATGTCTCTTTTGGGGTGACATTAAATAGCGTTATAATTTGTTTATCTTGCATTTTCTGTACTGGTGAGCTGTCAACAGATGAGAGCTTTGTACTCATGCATGGCTGCCTGCTTTACTGAACTGCTTACTCTACCTTAAAGTCCACTGTGACCGTTATTTCATTCATACAATTTATTTTCCGCTTAGCCCTACGCCGTGGCCGTCGCTGACAAGCACCCTCAAAAGATGTAACTACACGTCGTACTAGCGCGTAATGCTCTGTGATTGGTCGGCTTGGTAGCGCTGGCGAGTGTGGGCGGGACCGAGAGCCACGCGAGCCCGATGGAGCGATTGTTTACAAGTGTGGAGTCCCGTTAAGGAGCTCCGGATGGAAAGTTTTGTTTTGTGTTTACCTCATGGTTAAAGTTGTTGCACGTCTGCCAGTTCCTGCCTCAAAATGAGCAAGTTTGAGCCACTTGTACATTTAAGGAAGCGTTCAGAAAAAACAAAACACCAGCGAAGAAACTCGACACAGAGGAACCTAAACACCTCACTGTCAACTAGCGTTTCGGAAGTGTTATTGCAGAACAACAGAAAAGTCCCGTTTTCGGAATTTAGTTTAGTTCAGCTCAGTGTGGTTTAAATTCACTGCTGAAAGTAGTTTTAAACCAAGCAAGCCATAGGCGACAGATTTAATCCCACATACAGTAGTAATTATAATATAAGCTAACGTAAGGGCAAAAACATTGTAATTTCACTAGAAAATGTTGTGGCTACCTGGTGTGTACATATTAATGATTCCATGTAAATTGGCAGAGTCTGTTTTGTTTATGATTGGCCTGTTTTTCACCTGGATTTTACAAGGAAACAAAGGTGTTTGAGGCTCATGGTATGTCTTTTTCATGTACTGCACTTATTATTCAGCTTTGCTTAGGTATATCCAGATTTCATTCTATGGCACCTTTGGGAGCAATGCTTTGGGTTATAATTCAAGTAAATAAAAAAAAAAAATCATTTTAAATCATGTTCCGCTGTGGCATCAAATGTTTTATCTGTATTTTTTAAGGTATCCTAGCAAAGTTTGAAACTCCTGTATTAAGACAAGTCAAGTCTGGAAAAGTATTAACTTGTGCATTGGAAATTAATTGTATGTACTGTATTGTGAGTACATTAAGCCACAGATGAGTTCAACAGCCAATCTGTCTGAAATTTCAATGAGTCGTTGTCTTCTCTGGGGTCATTTTAAACATGTTGTTTTATAGGCGTTTTACCCACTCCATATCTCTAAGTGCTGCTGGGATGTATCTCTGGAGACGCTGTAGTCTTGTCCTTAAAGCCAACCTCTGAACGCATGCACACGCTCCATGCAATTTCATTTAAAATCTCTTCTTGTCCTGAGACTCTTACCACTACAGTGAAATCCTTTCACTCTCCTCTTTATTAAAAATTAAACAGAACAAAGTCATTTCAAAGGGAATTTTCCTGTGCCTTTAAAGTTGCTGCCAAGTTCTTATATATTTTTCCCCGTTGCACAACATAATATTGATTGAAAATGGGCCGTAATTTTAATGCAGGGTCTGATTTTGAGTTCAGTTGTTCAAAGTTTTCTTGATATTGAAAGAAAAAATAAAGAAATTGCCAAAGCTACACAAGAAAATGACTAAAACTTCAACTTAACTGATTTATCATCTTACTATATGTCTTTATTAACTATTATATTGTAAATTAGGATTTGTCCTGATTCTCCCCTTGCATTAAAAATTAAGTAGAGCAAAGTCATTTCAAAGGGAATATTGCAAAGCCTTTAAAGTTGCTGCCAAGTTTTTTTTTTTTTTTTTCAGTTGCACACTATTTAATTAAATTAGGTCATTTTTAAAGCAGGAACTAATTTTAAGTACAATTTTTTTCATGCTTTCTTTAAAACCTCACGTGCATCTTGCTATTATAGCTGGTTTCTTTTATATTGTGACAGCATATCCTACTTGCAATGTGCTGCGAGTCACTTTTATCCCACAACCTTATTCATGAGAGCAAACTGATTTGCATTATAAAGGGAATCAGCACACACTTTTGGTTCTGTGTGTGTGTGAGAAAGCACGCTCTTGTGTGTAAACTTTGCAAACACAGCATTCGAATAATGTAAGCATCGTCCCTTTGACAACGGCGGATGCTCACCAGTTCAATGTAAGAAGTTCAGTTTTAAGAAGTTGATACTTTTTGAAGAACATTGAAGTTCACATGCATAAAATCAAAATGACTTTGTGTAAGTATGAAGATGTCACTCTTTAGGTTGCAAGGTCTGAAAGCTGTTTTGCTACAAAACAAACACAAAATTCACGTTTATAAAATATAAGCATTCAAAACTTACATTTTCTCACTTCTCTTCATATGAATCAATAAATTCAGGTAATCACAGAGCCCCTCGGCATTATATCAGATTTTCTGGCCGATCGAATACTCTAGTTTCAGGGAATAGGTATAGTTTAGATCAGTGTTTCTCGACCATGCTACTGGAGGACCACCAACATTGCATGTTTTAGATTTCTCCTTTGTCACACTCATTTCAACCACCAACTATTCAGTATCTGCTAATGATCTGAATCAGCTGTGTTTGGTTAGGGAGACATGTGCAGATGGATTCTTGTTAGTACTGTTATCTATACTCATTCATTCATTTTCCTTCGGCTTAGTCCCTATGTAATAGGGGTCGCCACAGTGGAATGAAACGCTAACTATTCTGGCATACGTTTTACGCAGCGGAAGCTCTTGCAGCTGCAACCCAATCCTGGGAAACACTCATACAACCCACACAAACACGGAAACAACATGCAAACTCCACACAGAAATGCCAACGACTTGAACCAATAACCTTCTTTGAGGTGACAGTGCTAACCACTGAGCCACCATGCCGTCCCAGTTATTGATACTATTTTTAATAGTTTGATACAAAAGATGGGAAATATGTCTCAAATTTCCACCTACGGGTAGGCTCAGAAGTCTTTTATCATCCATCCACATGGTTAATCAGCTATACTAATAGAGAAAACTCCAGTTCTACCCGGAAAACCAGGGAGAAAATAATGAATTACATTTAGTGATGAGTATTGTTTGACAAGACTATAATGAAACAGGATTTCTTTGGCATAGGCCCCGTCCATGGCTTGGTTTGTAAGGTTTTAGATCTAGCTATGTCTGCTGAGGACGAAGGCAGGGGCAGAGCCTCCTCCACACTGGACAGGGCCAACTTGGTGGTTCTGGGGAGGATGGTGGGTGAATGTTTGCGTCAGTGCCTGCAACCAACTGAATGAAATGGACAGCTTATATATTCCTTGTGTCTCTTGGCTATTGGTTGGAACTCATTGTGATAAGTGACGTGGCATTAGGTATTCCTTGTGTCTCGTGGCTATTGGTTGGAACGGATTGTGATGAGTGACGTGACATTTAGGTCTTCCTGGTAGAACTACCGCTACAAGCTACATATCCAGATTTGTTTTACATTACTGTGACAGTTGGGTTCAGGGTTAGGGTAGACGTTTTAAAAATACAATTAATCGGAAATGTAATAAATAATATAAATAATTCTCGTTAACTTCCGGCCTCAACCATAAGTGATCTATAGCTGATTAACAATGTGGATGGATGATATCCTGTCTGCGGGCTCCCATCACGCTCACCCTGAGCCTTTCCAGTGCTGCGCACCAGCCTGCCTTTGTTTGACTTTGTGCCTAATAAACTGTCCTTATTTTGCCTGCACCCCTGGTGTATTGTCTGTCCATTACAAAATGGCGGAAGAAACTAATATATAAGTTGTGTACTGATAGTTCCTGTCGAGATCTGTCAAAGTCTCATACATCAGTAGTCTTTTCTGATCCTTCCTTTAACAAACGGCTGATGAATCACCCATTGTAGGCATGTAGATTGCTGAAGCACTCCTTTCCCTCACACTTTCAATAATATCCAGGTAAGCACAGCATCTTTATGACTCATGATGACTTCAGGATCTGTTTGTCTTTGCTGGTGTGTTAGTGGGCGGGGCCGCAGGTTTAAATTTTCCCAGGTTTTGCGCGCGCAACAATTTGGCGGGGCTTTTTTTTTCATAGGCACGTCATGCCTAAACCTCTAAAGACTCATTATCAAGACGATTCATTCGAATGACTGTGAGTTGACTCTAACTTTAAATGACTTAAAATAATAAAGCAGAATGTGAGTAAAGCAATGTAAACCTTTGAAATGTTTTTCAGTCAGTACTAAATTAATTAAAGAACGGCAATTTTCATTTACAGAACTTTATTTTTAGATTTTCGAAAGTAGCTTGAAAGTAATATCAGTAGCAATCTGATTACTTTATACATAATTAGTAATGTAATCAGATTTTAATTTTCAAGTAGTAATTTGTGATTTCTGGTCAATTTTTTAGTAATTTACCTAACACTGCTTATAATACTGCTAATAGATGACTGTGGGATATTTAGTAGTGAGGAAATATCACGAATGGACTTCACAGTATCTTTTGTTTGTAGCCTTTATAATGTAAAATGCAATGCAGTTTGGGTGTAAATCTGAAACAAAGAAAATCAGCATCTTAAAAACTCTCCCTAAAATAACACATCCTATTCCTCATGTGCATGAGCGCATTCAAATAAACATTTTTAACTCTTGAGACACTCCTTGCTAGTGTGTAGGCAATGGTGAACACTGTTCAGGGATCTTGTGATGCGCTCTTTATATTTTTCTTCTTGACTAGAAGTGACACGTCATTGAATATTTATAATCCGAGCATTGTGCCTTAAACTCGAACACGGGCACACACATACATGAAACTGTGCTAATAAATAATGCATATTAAAAGAAGTGGAAATCTATAAACCTAGATCCCACATAAATGTACTCTCTTTTTAGACACACAGTGGTATAATAGACATATACACACTCATGGTGTGCCTAAATGCAAGTACCAAGAAAAGAAAATATACATTGTGTTATGTAATAAACATGCAATCCCCTGAGGCCTGTGCTCATTATAGACAGATTCCCTTCATTTCCGCAAAACATTTTCACAGATCAGGGATCTGAGTCATTTCCATTTTTTTATGCAGTCTTTTAGTTTTAGTGACGTTTCAGTCAAGACACATGGTCAATATTTATTATTTACTTGTTTTACTTTGATTTAAAAAGACAATGTGCTAATCTGTAAAAGCAACATTAGCAACTAATTATTATAAATCATGGTGGCTCAGTGGTTAGCACTGTGGCCTCACTGCAAGAAGGTTGCTGATTCGAGTCGTAGCTGGGTCAGTTGATATTTCTGTGTGGAGTTTGCATGTTCTCCCATTCGTGTGGGCTTCCTCCGGGTGCTCCAGTTTCCCCCACAGTCCAAAGACATGCGCTATGAGTAAATTGAACAGACTAAAATGGCCGTAGTGTACAGTATGTGTGTGTGATTGAGTGTGTATGGATGTTTTCCAGTACTAGGTTGCAGCTGAAAGAGCATCCGCTGTGTAAGACATATCCTGAATAAGTTGGCACTCATTCCACTGTGGCAACTCCTGATTAATAAAGGACCTAAGCTGAAGGAAAATGAATATTATAACTCCTCTTACTGTAAATGAACTAGCATTGCAGTTTAATTAACGAAATATTACATAAATATACTGACATAACATGATTTGACAACTTAAACAACATATAAAATGTAAAAATCACCTTTAGTAAAATGAGCTGTAATGAGAACATGAATATTGTCCTATTCTCTGTAAAATCTAATTTTATATGCGTCCTTCCTCACAATATCTTGTTGTTTTTCATCGTTCGCTGCTTTAATTGATTTCATCCGCTGTCATCTCTCCCTCTACATCTATTCTTGTACTTTTTCTACAGCCTTTCCTCTTTGTTTTTCTTCCTCTCTCTCTCTCTCTCTCTCTCTCTCTCTCTTTCCATTCCTCACTCCAGTGAAGAATGACTAATGTGTGTTTTTCTTGCTGTAACTGCATACTATTTTAAGAGCCACATCCATAATTAAGATTGACTCGACCTGGAGGGATAGAATGTGTGTTTGTGTGTGTGTGTGTGTGTGTGTGTGAGTGTGTGTGTTCAAGTTTTAATGAAATATGAACGGAAATGCAAGGACCTTATTGTCCACCGTCTTGTTAATTAACTAAATAACTAATTGTTTATGTAGCTCACATTTACATTGGTCACAGATACACAGCTGAAAATGATTTGCCCTCCTGTGAATTTTTTTCTTCTTTTTCAAATATTTCTTAAATGGTATTTCACAGAGCAAGGAAATATTGCTCTGTTTAAGGGAGTATAAGGGAAATATAGGGTATTTGCTATAATATTTTTTCTTCTGGAGAAAGTCTTAATTGTTATTTCGGCTAAATTAAAAGCAGATTTTAATTTTTGGATTAAAAAATTGTATTCTGCTACGAGTGTGATATTGCGTTTATACAACAGTTTGACGGCATAATTGTGTATATAAAAACAAAATCAAACATGGAGAGTCTCAAAAAACCTTTTGTATGAGGAACTACTTTCTTCCGCCTTGGATTCAAATCATAAGCTGACAGTTAAACAGCTGAGCAAGCATCTTTTAAACTTTAGATCTGTAGTGTCTGCTTTTTGCTGGGTGTATGTGGGCGGAGTAAAACACAAAGGGTAAAGGGGCAGTACAGGTGCTGATATTACTTAAATATATCACAGCTATCAACCAATCAAATTCAAGAACCAGACAGAACTGTTGTATATATATATATATATATATATATATATATATATATATATATATATATATATATTTACACACACACACAGTATATAGAAAAGATGCAGCTGAGGATATGTACATCAATATAGCATCATTTTTGTGACACTGTGTAACAATAATGAATATTTTTACAGTACTGTGGTAGTTGGGTTTAGAGTTGGAAAATTAAATGAATAACAAAAATAATACTCTGTACAAGTACTGTTTTTACATCACTGTGACGTTGAGTTTAGGATAATTGCAGGGCTTAATTTGTGCCGCAACAAGCTGGATCCGGCACCTCAAAAAGTAATCCAGCACCCAATTTTACCAACCCCCCTCCCCGCTCTTCACTTTCTTTCGCAACTCCCTAACCCTCTTCACTTTTGTCCGTGACATCACCCACCCCTCCCTCCCCCATTTCGCCCACAACACTTTCTTCTGTGACTTCCTAATCCTCTTCACTTTCGTCCTCGACATTACCCTCCCCTCCCTCTGCGCTTTCGCCCAAGACACTTTCTTCCATGACTCCCCAACCCTCTTAAATTTTTATCCACTCCTCCCTCCCCTATTTCACCAACGTCACTTTTCTTCTGCAACTTCCTAATCCTCTTCACTTTCACCTGCGACATCACCCACCCCTACCTCCCCCCTTTCCCCCGTGACACATTTTCTCCATGACTCTCATCCGCAACAACATCACCCACCCCTCCATCCCCCTTCGCCTGCGACACTTTCTTCTGCAACTCCCCAACCCTTTTCACTTTCATCTGTGTCACCTCACTTTCATCCACGATTGTGAGATATGTAAACTTGGGATTGCAAGAGGTGAGGAATTAATTATTTGATTTTTCAAGCTGGTTGTTGCTAGATCAGATACGGTTGCGGCCGGAAGTTAACGAGAATTATTTATAATATTTATTAAATGACCTAATAATTATTTTTTTTAGCATCTACACTTACCCTAATGAAAAAAACAATAGTTGTATCGAGTATTATTTATGTTATTTATTAAATTACCCAATACATTTTATTTTTTAACGCCTACTCCTACCCCAATCCTAGACCCAGCCATCAAGGTACTATAAGAATATTACTTATTGTTATACAATATCACATAAATGTTGCTATATTGATGTGCAGATCTACAGCTGTTTCCTATCTAGACGTTACTATTCAAGCTATCTCACAGAAGAGTTGCTAAATGTTAAAATAAGGCGAAAAAAAATAAAAAAATAAGGAACATTCTGGATCTGTTTCTTTGTTATTCATTATTTTATTTTTTTTGCATTATAGAAGTATCGGATCGGGTTACGGTATCAGTAGATAATCAAATGACTCAGACTCGACAAAAAACCTGATTGGGACATCACAAACTGTCATCATAAAGATAAAAGAAATTAGTTATTAGAAATTACAAATGAGTTATTAAAACAATTGTGTTTAGAAATGTGTTAAAAAAATCTTTTCATTAAACAGATTTACTTAGGCAGGCTAATCATTTAGTAGGGCTAATAATTCTGACTTCAACTGTATGAAATAAATGCTAACAAGCACACATAGAGCTGTTTTCAGGTCAGCATTAATAAATATGAGCTCACCAACGCAGCAACATGATGAACGAGTTACAAGAGTATAGTCTCACCTCTCGTTTTATTCTCACCCCTCATTATATACACCTGTTCACGTTCTTTCTTCTTCTGCTTCTTCCTCTTTTTTTGAAGGATCAGTGCGGAGTCGCATTCCCCCAAGCTGCAGATTCGGAGTCACAGTTACCTGCGAGCGGTGAGTGAGGTTTCAATCAACCGCAGTTTGGACAGTCTGGACCCGGCCACTCTGCTGGCTTCACCCAAATTTCGCTCCCGAAATGAGAGCTACATGAGGGCCATGAGCACCATAAGTCAGGTTGGTCATCGCCCCTCTAGTTCTCTGGTAGAAATCACCATTAAGATTCCATCCTGAAGGTGATTTCTAGCCAGAGCCTTCATCTGAGAAGGTTTGCAGAGGGGAGGAAAACCGGGGAAGGAAAAAAAAGTAATACTTTGGCTCAAGTAATCAGTTTTTCATCCATCTCACGAAATAATTTATCATCTCTTCATCCATTTCTTATTCAGAATCCTAATTTGCATACTATCAGCGCAGTATATATGGAAGATTAGAATTAGAGAATAACAGAAGTGACAGCATGTTGGGATTATAGTCTTAAAGGTTTCTTGTTGGCATACTTTTTAAAAGAACCTGAAGCTGAGGTAAATTATACAGTTTTGATGTAAACATTTTTGTTAATTGAAAGTGTTCTGTGTTTTTATAGTGAGCACGCACATGCATGAGTTTGACAAATGTGCACTAGAAAGTTTGATTGTAAACTTTAGGTCACAATTCATGGAATTAACAAACCATTAACTAACACTACTAGCTTAATCAACTACTAATTAGCTGTTTATTAATAGTTAATTGGGTTTTTCATAGGATTAGGGATGTTGAATAATATACTTTATAAATACTAATGAATAGTTAAGATCTTAATATTAGGCAGGTAATAAGCCAGTAGTCAATAGAATGAACTGTAAACTAAACAAAAGTTTTACCATTGTGCATTATTTCTCTTTAGATGGTAAAAAAAAGATAAATGTTTTTGGGCTAAATGAATGTAAAGCATGTTTTATCAAGTTTTATCAAAACATTTTTAATATAATAGTGTTTTTCCCCAACTGTTTATATTAAGCTGCTCCTTGTGGTATGGTTCTACATCTATAAATAAATCTAGTGTTTTGTGGTTGCAACGCTACCTTAAAAGTCCTGCCTAACTGTTACTATCACATTGGGTAGTGGGAAAAGTTAGATTACAGACAATTTAAAGACCACAGGGAATCTGTGTGCACCAAAATCTGCAGATTTTTAGCCCATCATTGAGTCTGTGTATTTACTTGTGTAAATGTGTGTACATTTATATTTAGTTTTTTAAATGAATTTAAGTAATATTAAATAATATGAAAATGTTCATATGATTTATTTATAATAAAGCTTGAAAAGTAATATATCTTTTAGTAGATATATTATATGAGAGACTTGCTTTGTTTTTCAAGTTAAAAAGGTATAATTTCTTATATTAAAGTTTTTACGATATTCCCAACATCATTCTAAATTAATCCACAGATTTTTAACAAAATTCTGCACAGAAAGTAAAAATGTTTGCAGATTCTGTCTGGCCCTAGTTTTTATTAGCAGAAACATTTAAACGTTTTTGTCTAAAGTGTAATTGGTGAACACTTGTGTAATGAGTACAGTATGTCTGAATTATTCATAAAATGTACCTGAATAACATGTTATAGTCGGACTTCAAAGTGTGGATTTGTGAATGTCAGTGGTCACATATGGTTAAGTCATGTCACATTGACAATATGTTACATTGGACCGCAAAATCAATAAAAATCTTATATTGCACGGGAATATTTGTGGGAATTGCCAAAATATTTTGGAAAATTAAATAAAGATTATGTTTCATGAAAACAATGTATGCCACCATAGATTTATCAAAACTTTATAGTTTGATTAGTAATGTGCTAAGAGCATCATATAGACAACCTTAAAGATGATTTAAAAAAAAATGTCTTGATTTGTTCAGAAATCTCATTTTCCACATTTTTTAAATTGTTGTATCTTGGCTAAATATTATCTTATCCTAACAGGCCATACATCAATGGAGTTAAATAATAATATAAGAATGAATATACCAGTTAGATTATGTACAAATCTCAGTTTCCAAAAATTGACCCCTATGTCTACACGTCTGGATTACCTTAATTCATTTTCCTTCGGCTTAAGCCCTTATTTATCAGGGGTCACAACAGCGGAACCACCATCTATTCCCTTCCCATCTGAATTACAGTCATACATGTATAAAAAAAGAGAAAGAAAATCTTCATTGGCATAGATCACAGGTGTCAAACTCAGTTCCAAAAGGATCGCAGCTCTGCACAGTTTAGTTCCAACCCTAATTAAACACACCTGATCAAACTAATTGAGTCCTTCAGGCTTGTTTGAAACCTACATGTAAGTGTGTTGGAGCAGGGTTGGAACTAAACTGTGCAGGGCTTCGACCCTCCAGGAATTGAGTTTGACACCCCTGGCATAGATGGTTTCACAAAGAACCTTTAACCTCTCCTTACAGATAAATCACATTAGGCTTTACGAGCTTCAGTCACGTTAAAAACACATACGATATATATGGAGCACATGTGAAACATGTTTTGGAAAATTTGTATGTTTCTTCACGTGAACACATTTGTTCACATAATCACAGTTTCAAAACAAATATTTCTCATGTGTTTCATATGGTTCACATGTGATTTTAAAATTGCATGATTGCCTATGTGGAGCTCAAGTGCTTTTTTATAGCCTTCCCAGTCAACTAAAGGTTATTCATTGTGGGAAAATGTTCTGTCAATTATTTAAATGTTATTCACTACATCAAAAAGTGTTCTTTTAAAAACTAAAAAGGTTTGTTTAAAAAAATCTCCATGGGATCAAACATTCATACTATACAGGCCTTAGTCAGGGTATGATTGTTTCATTTCGATATTAATATGAAGTTGTGGGGGTAGAAGTACAATGTGAATATCGAAGTAAAATCAAATATATATGATATATACTTGAATAGTGTAAGTTGTTAAATGCAGCTCATCATTAAGGGAAAAAAAAGGTTTGTGCTATCAAGACTTTGTGATGTGATAGCTTGCTGTAATACTGATGAAACTCATCTGCTTAAAAGATTGTATTTTGCAATAACTAAATATACATTACATAAAATAAATCCAACTAAAATATAGCGCGATATGCATCTGAAGGGACCTCTGTAGCTAATTAAAGGAGTACATGCAAGTAGCCTAACAGAATATTAAAGGTAGGGTACACTGAAAAAAAGTGTTGCATGCAGAACTGTTGCAAACAATTTATTTGTGTTGAATTTAAACAAACAAATTAAGTTTAATAATATTCAACTTAATTTGTTTGTTTAAATTCAACACAAATAAATTGTTTACAACCACTTAACGTAAAAAAATTGAGTAAATCCAAGGAATCATCTCTGAATAATTTTTTTCAGTGTAGTTGATTTCAGAGATGCAATATCACAACCCAGGCTCATTCTGATGATGTACCCCTATACATTTCTGGAGGGAGCACATTTTTTTCCCAGGTGTTTTTTTTTTTTTTTTTCCAAGAATTGGAACAAACAAAAAATGTTTTTGAACCAAATCACTTACCCTGCCTTTAAAGCAGGGGTGTCCAAACTCGGTCCTGGAGGGCTGGTGTCCTGCAGATTTTAGTTCCAACTTGCCTCAACACACCTGCAAGGATGTTTCAATAAAGCCTAGTAAGAGCTTGAATAGCTAAGTGTCTGAATGGGGTTGGAACTAAACTTTGCAGGAAACCCCTGCTTTAAAGGAACCCTCCCCTCGAGTTAAATAGACAAGTTTTATATTTGCCGAATCCATTTAGCTAATCTTCAAGTCTGGTGGAAACACTTTTAGCTTAGCTTAGCATAAATCATTGAATCGGATTAGACCACTAGCATAATAAAAAATAGTTTAGATTTTTTTTTCTCTTTAAATCTTGAATTTAAAACTTGAAAATCTAATTTTTTTATTTTCTAGGTTGAGATGATCTTAACCAATACTCTCATTCTGGTGTAATAATCAAGGAACTTTGGGTGCAGCAGGCACAATGATATTTTGCAGTGCTGTATTTATTTATTTGTTTTTAATTGAGCAATATGCTAATTGTCTAATCTAATTCAATGATGTATGCTAAGCTGAGCTACCTGTATAAGTAAACCGCAGATTGGCTGAATGGATTAAAAAATGGAAAAACTCGTCTGTTAAACTCTGGGGGACTTGTAAAATCAGCTTATTCCCAAAAAAGTAGAGTGTTTCTTCAAGATTAAGTGTCAACAAGATTAAGCTTTCATGTTAACTGTTAGTTTCAATTACATTTTTGAGGGAACTTGGTGTCAGCAAAGCCTTTTAAGTAATGTAAAGCAAATTTTAGGTTGTGTTCTACAATGTTAACGTGTAGCTTAGGGATTTTCAAGGTGAGTTTTCAGGATTAGTGTCTTTAGCCTTGGGATTTTAAGGTGAGTTTTCAAGATTAGCTCCTGTAGCCCTGGGATAAGGTGACGGGCAGCGTTTACAAACGAGACAGTTTTAAGGTGAGTGTTCAGAGCCTGACAGCTCACTCAGACAGACAACAGCCCTTACCTTTTAAAAAGTGGCTTCCTCCCACCGACGAAAAACACACACTTGCCCTCAGGCTTGTGTGCGAATCTGTCTCTTCTGGTCCCTGAGGATAAATCAATCATTTCAGTGACAAAAAGCTCAGTCGGCTCACTATAAAAACCCATCATTCATTGGTTCTCTCATGCGTATTCTGAATGTATGTGTGTGGGCATGCAGACATGCATTGAATTGTAGGTGCGTATAAGGCTAAAGCCCGGCTTGCACTGTGTGATTTTTAATAATCTTAAACGATTGTAGCTTGCTTGTAGACTGCACAAGCATGATTACCTTGTCACACTGTAAGATCTCAGTTGTCATAATGTCAAACTGATCGACAATCAAGACATTGCAAACACAGACTACTGTAGCATGAAAACTCATCCAGTGTTGGATGTCATCCGACCGTGACGCATTCAGTAACCCTTATTCTGAAAGGATACCTCACACCAAACATAAGCTACCTGGGATTATGCCAACACAGGCTCATTCTGAAAACGTAGCCCTGTATACATTTTTGGAGATCGCGACTTATGTACCCAAAGTAAGTATGGCTTCATTTTGTTTTTAAATCGAATGATACCGGACGGTATGATGTCGTTCCTTTTAACGATTACCAGCTGGCGGCTTACC